AGATTAATAAATTGTTGAACGTACTTTATATCACGGTCGCATTTATTACCTACGATGACCATCGGTACCTTAAGGCTGTGGTGGCTTTTGCTTCTGGTCTTTCCACTTTGTATGGCGCTTATTTTAGTCTCCAATATTGCCTCACGTAGTCGAATTGCCTCCTCGAAGGACTCGCGACTGTCCATGCTGAATACCACGACGAATAAATCACCTGGAAATTGTGTTACTGTTCGTATGCAGGGATTTCCAAATTTGTAATATTTTATTACGGTTAATATTGTAGCGCTTAATTAGATAACATCACTCTTGAAAGCTTATGAGTACTTAAAGTAGCTTTACCCTGCGGCCGGGCCACGCTGTACTTGTGAATATTTTCAGTTTTTAAATTTTTCAACTAAATTGCCTGGAGAAAATTTGAAAAAATTCATACCCAGTCAGTATTATCTAAATTAAATGTCGCAAAATATTGATATTTTTTCAAATATTTCCATCTTATAAATAAATAATAACACTTGTTTGCAAAACGGTGGATTATTTTTTATGAGGTGTCAAAAAAATTCTTGATTTTTTCACATCTAATGAAAAAAAATTCAGATTTTAATCTTTTATTACAATGGCGATGTTGATTTTCACATGAGGTACTGGGTTAAATCCTGATTTTTAAATAAACATTTCTTCTTTGAAAAACCAAAACGATAATTAAATTGAGAAAAAAATCAGAATTCCGAATCTAATCGAGTGTTCTGCAATTTTTTTTAAAACTTGAGGTGTTTGAAGGCAATGCCAGAAAATAATTTTTGTAGAGAATTTTCTCAGCTACAAAAACATTCTTTTGTCGTTTTTTTCATAAGATTACTCGTTTTTTTAACAAATTTAACATTGAAAAATATGAAAATCTCAGTAATTATGGTTTATAATTGGAAAGAATTGATAATTCAGTAATTTTTTCACTGTAACTCGTGGTTTTTGAATAGAATGTCGAAAATAATTTCTGCAGAGAATTTCTTAAAAAACAAAAAAATTCTTTCATAAAATTATAAAACTACAGAATTAGAATTCCGAAGGATCAAAATTCAATTAATTACATTTACTGGTAAAAAACCTATCTGTGACCAGTGTAGGGATATTTTATTCTAAAATATCCCTTTCAAAAGATATTTCGACAAAAATCTCACATCTCCATTAGATCGAAGAATATCAATGAAAAGCAAATACCAAGAATACACCCGTTTTCATCCATTTATCCCGCTCTGTTTATACCAAACATTTTTCTCATTTTCTGGTCCACATTTTTTTTCAATCTCGAGTGTGGAGCCTCGAGTGAACACAAGAGCCCTAGTACTCTCACGATAAAGGTCGAACGTTGGCAAAGGGAGGAAGTGTGTAATATGAAACTTCAAACTCCCTCGGGGCATCCAACGATATTTCTATTTCAATCTTACCGCTGTATCGATGAAAAATCGATGGACTATTTCTTTTTTCATTCTTTTTTTTTTTATTTAGCGGTAATTACTTGTCTTTGTGACTCACCAGTCAGGAAAGAGAGTCGTCGCATGGCAGGAAAGGGATGATTACCACTCGTGTCCAGGAGATCCAACTGGTGCACCTCACCGCGAATTCTGTACAGTTTACGGTGGAAATCCTCGATCGTTGGGGTGTAACTCTCCTCGAATTTGTTTGAGAGAAATCTGGAGGTGAAAAAAAAAATGTTTCACACGAAATAAGAAATAAAATATGGACAATGAAAATTCCTCAAATTATTAAACAATAGCTAAAAGCCCTCCATCACTCCGATTTGCTCAACCAAAACCGCCAACTTTCTTCGACAAAAGGACCTCCTCAAGTATCACCCCCCCTACGAAGTCGCCGGACTAAAACGGGACATTTATCACTGGCTGGTGTGACACCTAAAACGCCTTCAGAAGCAGATAAACCCGAGCATTCCGGATTACACCATTTACAGTTGCCCGTATTAAGCCGAGATGTAGCCGAGTATCTGGGACAACTTGAGCGACCTAAAACCCCTCGTGTTACTCAGCACGCTCTTTCTCTCGATTTCTTTGTTACCTATATACGACCCCCAGTGAAAAACACTTCTCCCTCCGAGTCTTCCAGAAGAGCTCCTCCAACATCTCCCTTCCATTCCAATATTTTTATCGTCAAGCACGTAGAAAACAAGTGGCTTAATATCTGATGTGAAAGAGCGCCTCCAAAAAGGGGAAAGACACTTTTATTTCCCCCTTTTTTTTGTTCAGGGAAAAACTGACGCGCTCGCTTTAAGCGATGTGCACTGTAGCGTATCGGCGATATGACCCTATCCAACAATAACGTGGACTGGCTTTTCAGTGTTACCGAATTGGTCGGTTCATTGATTCAGTTCCCTTTTTTGCGAGGAATAAAAATGCATGGGTGGTCGGGAACGATATGGTTATCATCGTCATGCAGCGGAGGGAAATTACCGGTTCTATTGGATGTGGGGGATTGTCTTGACAAGAAGTGGGCTGTTGAAATTTTTGGGTGGAGTTTATGGCACATTTTTTTCTAAATTCAAGAGCGCAGCAGTAAAACGGTTCAAGCCGATTTTGACTGTTAGCCAGTTTTTCATGGATATCTCGAAATCTTAGGGAGATGGCAACATTCCTGTCATGAGCTTTTTTGTGGAGCAAAGTGAGGGCTGCAAAAAAGGTTATTAGGAAAATTTCGTTATCTCCATTAGATTCTGAGATATTCCTCGAAAACTCGCGTAAGGACTAAGTCGACCGTTTTACCACTTCGCTACTGAATTTTCATCAAGTTTGTGCGACTGGGATTTCAGTGGAGGGAAATTACCAGTTCTATTGGATGTGGGGGATTGTCTTGACACGAAGTGGGCTGTTGAAATTTTTTGGTGGAGTTTATGGCACATTTTTTTCTGAACTCAGGAGCGCAGCGCTCAAACGGTTCAAGCCGATTTTGACTGTTGGCCAGTTTTTCATGGATATCTCGAAATCTTAGGGAGATGGCAAGATTTTTGTCATGAGCTTTTTTGTGGAGCGAAGTGAGGGCTGCAAAAAAGGTTATTAGGAAAATTTCGTTATCTCCATTAGATTCTGAGATATACGTCGAAAACTCGCGTAAGGGCTAAGTCGACTTCAACACGAAATTGAAATGAAATTTCAGGTTGTCGAACACCCGACGCAATTTTCACTCGCATAATCCTGCATCCCCTGATTCTCGGGGTTGCATTTCATAGAACTCTATGCACTCATCGCGCGAAAATACTCGAATACCGATGACCACGCGTATTTCTCAGCCTTTCAGATCACTCCAAGCCAGCGCGAACTATTTTCGCTTGCATTCAGAATCAAAAAGTTGTACAACTCAGTCTCTCCATAGCGACTGCCTCCACCCAATTAAAATGAACGATTCTCGGGAGATACTCGGCCCATTCACGGCCCATTCTAATCAAAAGTTTGACGACTCACCGTGCTACAATGGCAGTTTTGCCAACTCGTGCACTGCCAAGTACAATGAGACGATAGCAGTTTCTGGGCGGTGGTTTGCACGAGTCTTCCTGCGACGATGTCGACGCTGGACTAGGGCTAACGGGCACCGGAAGTATCCCATCTTCACTTCCCGACGGCCCCTCGAGGTCTCTTGCACCTCGTCTGCGTAACGGCTGCTGAGGCTCACCCTCCTCAACGGCATTACCACGTCCACAGAGTCGCTCCACGCAACACAGCAGTCGGACACACGCCTCCAGCTGTTGAATATTCATTACCTCCGTTAAACGGATTTTCCACACTTTTCATATACTTTTTTCTTTTTCAAGGGCTCTTTCTCCTCTCGTTAAAATTAACGAGGACTTTTTTACACTCTCATTGTCTCGTCGGCTTCATCGGGGGACGGGTAATTGTCTTGGAATTGATGTCAAAATGTATTTCGGTGTTGGGGGATTAGTGGCGTGAAAATTGCCGTGGTATCAGGGGCTCTGGATGTTCACTGGGCTTGTTTGCTGGGGTTAGCGATTAGGTGTCAGGGTATTTTAGGGGAACGTTCGGGGGTTTCAACACCTATATTTGGGAAGAATTTTGATGGGATTTGTTTTACAGAAAATCAGTTAGGGAAGAATGAGGTGAAATGAACTGCCTGTGAGCGTGCGTTATTCGAGCTCCGCAGAGTCGAATTTCATGACTTATTTTTCATTCTCAAGATATTTTTTCAAGCTTAAAGATCTATTTTAACATGTCCCAATCGCCCCTTTCAGTCCGCAGATATTTAAAATTGAAGACGATTCGTTTTCGACTCCTTAATTTTTTAACAAGTGAATTTTTTTGGTAATGAGGGAATTCCGGGAAAAATTTTGAGAGACAGGAAGCTTGGATGTTGTTATTGGAGAGAACATTTAACTCGGAGGCTATATTCGGAAATTGGGAGAGTGAATTCGAAGTTAGAGTCAAGTTTCATCCGAAGCGAATGAAAGTTGCAAGTGGAAATGGTACCACTTCATCGATTCATCCTCGAGTGGTTGTAGGAAGGGTCGAATGTGCTCCACATTTCCACTCTGACAGATAAATTTCGCCTCTGTGGGCACTTGCGAAGATGTTTTCGGCGTCATCTCCTTCAATTGTCAATTTGGATTGACAATTTTATGGGAGAATGGGGCCAGTCGATAAATCCAAAGTGGATTTATCGGTTCTTTTGTAAATATCTCACGAAGGAAGTAGTTTACAGAAAAATGTCATAAGAAATTTTTTGCAGCAAATCAAATTCTCTACAAAAAATGTCCTACAATATTTATTCCTAAACCCGTTATTTTCCGAGATATTCACCAAGTAGTTCACTCGAAAGTTTTGTCTCGTTTTTGTAATTTTTTAATGAAGTCAAAAGAATTTCCTGTGAACGAGATAATTCAAGGAGCAATCGAATTTAACTTGAATTTAATTTTGATAAAAACTGATGATTAATGGATAATTTTTCCTGTGGACTAATGCAATTTTATGAGTTGCGGATGAATTATGTCTCTAATTAGGGCGTGAGGGAGAGAAAAAACTAGCCAATGGAGATTCAGAGCACGCCTATGCTTCTAGAGCTATTAAATTCCACAAAGCTAGTCCCAGCAGTGTTCATTCATAAACAGAGTCCCTTGATAAAACAGCTTTTACCTGATGAATACCACGTTAGAGAGGGGAGAATTTTTACCACGTCAGCGAAGTAGCCGTGAAATTGATAGAATAGTTCTTGTATTCCTGTTAAAGTGACAGTGAGGTGAAGCCATAAATCTTCAATAATTGCTCAATAGCTGGAGAACGGCAGAGTGGAATTTTCAGATTTTTTTTTCATTGTTTTACGGCATTTTTGCTTCCGAATGGAAATTCGGAAACCGAAAAACCGAAAAATTGGTCAAATATATTTGACCGATTTTTCGGTTTTCTAATTTTGATTGGAAATGGTCTAGAATGTTATGAAACGTGCAGAAATGAGGTTTTTAATTCCTTTAATTCCTAAGGTTATTAACCTTATTAATTTAAAAATGTTATTTTTATAAGCATAAAATCGATTTCTGGTAAAATTCTGAATATAACCAAAGAAACAATCGTAAAATTTGTTACGATTTCGAAGAAGTGTTTTTTATTTCTTGACATTTTCATCTAAAACCATTCGTTATCTTGATAATTCCAGCAAATAGAGCTCTGACACGTTTCCTCCATTCCATTTTATCAACCCCCAATAAAAAATCCATAACTGTTTGTGATTAATGATAAACGAGAGTTCGATAGGGATCATTAAGAACGATATTTCACATTTAATGAGCACTTAATAATCTGTGATATGAAACAATCAATTTTTACTACCAGCAATCATTTTCCCTGTGGTGTAAAGTGGATCACGAGTCTAACACCAATACGAGGGGTATAAATGACCCCAAATGATGCAATGAGGGTTTGATATTGAGTATGCCATGAAGATCTACAGAATTAATTTTGAAGATGCTTCTAATGACGAGAAATTTTCCTAGGAAATTCTATCAAGTTTTTTGCGGATTTCTTTTACAAATTCTTCTTGTTATTCTTCCTCTTCTTATTATTACTATTATTATTATTATTATAAAAATATGAAATTTCAAGTTGAAAAAATTTTCTCGAAAGAATATCAATCGAGAAAGTTTTATAAAAAAAATTGAAAATCCATGAATTTTTGTTGTAAAATATTTTCTGTTTAACATATTTATTTATAAATACCTAAAAAACCATGAGGAATTTTTGAGAAAAACAAATAGAATTATTCATAGAATTCCAATAAGAATTCAATAAAATTTCATTGAGAAAACGGTCGATTTTTCTATCAAATGTTCTACCTTCAAATGAAATCCTCCCGCAAAAAAAAACAATTACCAAATAATGAATGAAGCTCGTCACTCCAGCAAATTCGGCACGAGGGATTGCCAAAAAATATGAGAACAGAGGCTATAACGAGAAACATCAAGAGGGGAGAATCACTGTGCCCCCCTCCCCCCCATTGACATGAATGGGCTCCAATGAAAGACCTGATGAAACATAAAGAAACCAATCTCACTATATTGTCCCAGTATTTCGTATAAATTTTATCATCCACCTGCTGCCTCAATATCCCACATCGCCCATTTCAGTGTTTCAGTGTCGTGAAGCGTGTGCTTTAAAATGAGTAGCTGGAATTCAAATGGTGATGGTCCTCGAGACGAAGAGTATGGAGAATTTAATGAAGATGAGGATGAAGTATTCATCGAAATGCTGAGGATTGGCGACAGCTATCGCAATTGATTGCGTGGAATAGCGTATTTTTATGGGGCTTGAGCTTGAAAGGGGTTTGAATTATTCGGTTTATTTGGTATTTCCAGTTCGACAATTCGATTTACTTCTTCACTCTATTCTGAATATAAAGTTGATGAAATGTAGAGGGAATCATGGGGTCTCGAGAGTGAAAAGCAAAACTACTGAAACACAGAGGAATTTCTATAGAAAAATGTATAGAATATTTTACTTCCGTTGAATATTTTCTGTTGAACATTTCTGTGGAAAAAATTCGAAGAAAATCAGCGAAATTTCAATAGAATTTGTTTTTTCATAGAAATTCAATAGAATTTCCTCGGGAATTCGCAAGGTTTTTCTATAGAATTTTTCTGTACAAATTCTGCAATATACATTTTTCAAGTTTTTCACTATATTTTTTGTCTCGCCTCGACAGGAAAATTGAATGGAACAAGTTGCAAAATTTAAACCGAGAAATTCTATAGATTTTTTTATAGAATTAAAATATTTTATGAAACTTTATAAAGAATATTCAAACCAGATAGAAAATCTATATGACATGTTGATTCTATAGAAAAGTATATATAAGATTTCGGGTCTAGAAAATTCTATAGACCATTTTAATTCTATAGGACTCTACAGAATTTATTTCAATTCTATGAAAATTTCTATAGAAAGAAACGTGCAGAAAATCAGCGAAATGTTCCCATAAAATAGAATCGGCGAAAAACTAATGTAATTTTCAATAGAAATTTAATAAAATTTCCTAACGAATTGGCTAGATTTTTCTATAGAATTTTTTCGTGCGGGAAAACAATTCCGACAAATCAATTTGCAATTTGCCTGAACAAAAGCCGGTGTGCAATAGCATAAGCCCACATTACTCTCTCACACTGTCATGTCTCTTGATCTACGAATCAATCATAGCTCGATGCGTCGGCACGTGTAACGCTAGCGTTACCCCTCTGTAATCTATTTGTTGACCTACTATTGCAAAATTCTAGGGTTTTTTTTTCTCTGTATAGAAAAGCGCTAGAGGCACTCGGTAAAAGCCTTCTGTTCTGTGACCAATAAAACAAAAAGACAAGGTATTCTCTCTTCAACTCAGCCAGTCGGAAATGCCGCTTCATTTACGAACGATCGGAGCACTTCGCCCGGGCTTGTTGATTAATGTTTCTATTTCGCCAGGCCAGCAATGTAATTTCATCACTATAATTCGCCTAATGTGGACTAACGCAACTGGTCTAGCTCCTTAATGAGAGATAATTCGGAGTAAATTGAGGTGATGGATTGGAATTGATAGACTGAGGTAATACAACATCCCGAGAAATTTGCGAGAATAATTTTTAGAGACATTTGGATTGACAAAATTCAATGGATTTTGATTTTTAGAGGTGACACGAAGGAAAACATTCAACAGAAAAACCTAGCGAATTCGCTAGACAATGCTATTGGATTTTTATTGAATTTTCTACTAGCTTTTGGCCCATTTTAAACAGATATTTGCTATAGAATTTCCTCCACTCAAATTTTCCAAGTTTTTTTCAGTCAATTTCTATTTTTTTTCGTCAAGAAAATCGAACAAAAAGATCGGAAATTTAAAAGAAGGAAATTCTACAGAAAATTTCACAACAGAATAAGTTGTATAGAAAAATGGAATTCTTTTGAATTTTTGTGTAGAATATTTTCTACTGAACATTTCAATAGATCATACAAGAGAATTCTCTAGCAAATTCGCTAGGCTTTTCTATTAAATTTTTTCATACGAGAAACTATGCTGCTGAGATTTTTCTATAGAAATTGTTGGTTAAATTAATTTTCCTAATTTTTTGTGTTTTGTCTGTTTCTCGGAATAAAATCTAAGAGGAATTCTAAAATTACTTCAAGTATTCATGGCCAGAAATTCTTACGAAAAAATTGCAGAATAAATTGTATAGAGAAAAGCTGTTGGTTTTTTTTCATAGAAGTTGAATGGAATTCGAATAGAATTCCAATAGAATTTTTCGGAGGAATTTTTTTTACGAAACAAAATTTCCATTAACGGATGAAACAGTTTCACGAATAAGATCTTGTGCATTTGCACAAGAGTTTTTGTAGAAAAATTCCAACAGATATAAGAAGGAGTTATACATAAAAATAAAAAATCTATTGACTTTTTTTTATTTAAAAAATCCTTGGAAATGAATTTTCTCACTTGAGTCAATTCTAATAGATTTCCTCACACATGAATTGAATACCCAAAAAAATCCATTTGATCATTAAATTCCATGAAATCCCGCACATGATGAATCATCGAATAATTCGAAAATAATTTCTCGAGAGGTGTTCCCCCAGGCCCACACAATCTCCCCAAAAGAGTCGTTTCAATTCGTGACATATGTCCCGAGAAGTCAAACTCATATATTTTCCCCAATCCCTCAATTTGTCAAATAGCTTCGAAATGAAACAGGAAAACTCGCATCAATCAGTGGCGAAAACAGAGAACTTCCCCCTTCCAATAAATGAATTCATCCCGTTCATCGCCAGAATGCGCGCAGGGAAAAATTTCGTAGAAAAGTTAACGAATTCGATGTAAAATTCTATTGAAGTTCTATTGAACTTCTAATGGCTTTTGGCCGATTCTATTGAAAAATCCCACAACTATAGTGGGCGTTTTTCTTAAGAAAATGTCCAGTAGAAACTATTTTATTTTAAAAGTCAGTAGAATTTCGTATTTCTATACGTTTTCTATGAAGACATTTTCTATAGGAATTTTTCGAAATGAATTCCCTAATGTTTTTCCAGGAGAATTTTCGTCTGTTCTCATTTGAAAAAAAATCGAATTCCGTTGATTTTTTTCTATAGGATATTCTCCATTAAACATTTCTATTGAAGACAACGGGCGGGTAAGCTGTGGAATTCTCCGCTAGAATCAGCTATAAAAGCTAATAGAAAATTCAATAGAAATCCAAGAGAATTTCTTAGGGAATTCGCTGGATTTTTCTACGAAATTACTTGGCACGTGTATTTTTTCCCAGTGCACACAACGCTTTTAATCAATACCTAGTGAAAAATTCTAGTCATGCAAGGCGTAATTCCAGGGGAAGGAGTGCATCCCTCCTTCCTAGCGATATCTCAGGTGCAACAAGTTCGGGCAACAGCTGTTTCGGCGGACAAACTGCATATCTACAGGTATAGACACAATACCTACCCAGTGGTACTGTTTTAAACCGCAACAGGATCAATTTGGCTGGCATCCAAGTAACCGTGATGCACTATTGTCCGACAATCTCATTGGAATAATTCAATATGAATTTGCTGGACATACTGTCAGCGGTGGTGATCAGTCATTTAGGGACGCAGCACGATGTGGCTTGATTCAGTGCTCTGGAATTGATTAATCCTAATCGTGGGTTTAGGTTTTTTTCGACGGAATATCCTTGATTCTGGGATCTTCAGGGGGAATTGATTAATTATGGAACGCTTGATTTGATGGGGATTCGGGAATTAATCGAGGGGCGGATAGGATGGATTCGATTGTTGGAGGTGTGGGGAGAGATTCAAGAATATTAAACGTCGACAAAATTATTGTCACGGAATTCTCTCAGAATTTTTCTCAGGAATACATGGCATTACAGTTTCATTTTTTCAATTTATCTCCATGATTTTTTAACTACAAACCTCGGAAATTAATCGAGGGATGGATATATTTATCACTTCAGCGCCTGGGTATTTCTGGATGGATTTGATTTTTGGATGTGTGGGAGGAGCTTCAGGATTAGTGTTGAAAAATATCATCAAGTAACAGTTCCACAGTTAAAAGCCACAGTTTCAGGTAAAAATCAGTGGTAATTGGGAGTTACAGTTGTTTTATTCCTCGAAAATTTATAGAAATCAGAAAAATTCAAGTCCATATATTCTTGAGCTTTAAATCAATTAATAATTCTGGCTAATGCAGTACTGAATATTCATATTTAGATTAAAAATTCAAGCGAGTTGAAGTATTCTCGTCCTTCTGCTGCTCAAAAATTTAGAATTCCATACAATTTTCACTGAAATTTGAAATGAAAATCCGATCGGCTCGTTAGAATGAGCCGATTTGAAGGAAATAACGGCAGCTTTCTTTTTTTTTACAACAAAGTTATCACAGGATATTTTTCGTGAAGAGTTTTCAAAGTTAAATAAATTATACTCCGACGTTTTTCAGTGATAGGTTCCTCGATATCTCGCCCTAAATCCACTCCCTGGAGAACTTTTTCCATTTATCAAAACTAATCTCCCAGTCTTCTCTAAGGATACATAAAAACAAGTGAAAAATGTCAGAAGACATTTCTCGTCGAGACTTTTATTATCTGCGAAAATGCTTTTCTTTTTTTTTCGCTCAATCCAGTTTTTTGGGAATGTCATAAAAGATTTTATGAGACGATTTCATGGGCTATAAAAAATGTCTTTTGACATTTATTATCGAATTTATTAGTTGCAGACATATTTCACTCTTTTAGTGAAACTGCCGGAGTTTAAATTCGCAGATTTTCTCAAAAATATCTCCTGAACCAAAAACTTTGTGTAAAATTACCAGAAAATACTTTTCGTGGAGAGTTTTCAGAGCTAAATAAATTATGCTCCGACGTTTTTCAGTGAAAAGACCCTCGCAAACTGCCCCTGAATCCGCTCCCTCTAGAACTTTTTTCCATTTATCAAAACTAATCCTCAAAGTCTTCTCTAATGATACATAAAAACTTGTGAAAAATGCCAGAAGACATTTCGCTCTGAGAATTTCGTAATTTACAAAATTTTTTCAATTTGTTATGAAAAGTTTTAACCCGGGAAATTTTCCCCTCAATTTATTCTCTCTAGGATTTTTCTCCATTTCTCAAAATTCATCTCCCAACTCATCTCCAATGATCCAGAAAAACTAATGAAATATCAGAAGACATTTCTCGTCAAGAATTTCGTAATCTGTAAAAATATCTTCTTCTGTAGTTCCGGATATATTAGCAAAGAACCTGGGAAAATTCTGCAATTGAAATTACCTCATATCAAAATAAATTGGGAAATTATCTCAAAACTATTTCTTAAACAAAGATCTTCACCGAAAAATTGTAAAAATATATCTTTCATGAATAGTTTTTCATCCTAAAAAATTATACTTTGACATTTTTCAGTGAAAAAACTCTCGAAATTAGATTAATTATGGCTAGATGAATTCTAGTTTTTTTTTCCATTTCTCAAAGCTCATCCCCAAAGTCTTCTCCAATAATCCATAAAACGTAATGAAATGTCAAAAAACATTTCTCCTCGAGAATTTCGTAATCTGCAAAAATGTCTCCTTCTACAGAAAATTCTTCAATTGAAATTCTCTCATATCAAAACAAATTAAACAACTATCTCAAAAATATTTCCTAAAAAAAGATCTCTACCGAAAAATTGAAAAAACCTTTTTCATAAATAGTTTTTCGTCCTGAAAAACTTATACTTTGAAATTTTTCAGTAAAAAATCATCCAAATCTCCCCCTCAAATCATTCCCTCCAGAATTTTTTTCCATTTCTCAAAACTCATCCCCAAAGTGTTCTCCAATGATCCATAAAAAACAATAAAACGTCCGAAAACATTTCTCGACAAGAATTTCATAATCTGCAAAAATGTCTCCTACAGAAAATTCTTCAGTGTAAATCCCCTCATCAAAACAAATGAAAAAACTATCTCAAAAATATTTCCTAAAAACCGATCTTCACCGAAAAATTGAAAAAACATATTTCATGAATAGTTTTTCGTCCTGAAAAAATTACACTTTGAAATTTTTCATTGAAAAATCCACCAACATCCCCCCCCCTCGAGCTTTCCATTTCTCAAGACTAATGCGGAAAATCTTCTCCAATGATCCATAAAACCTCAGATCTTCTACGTTGGAACTTCCATTCCCCGCAAAAAACCACGGAGTGTCCCTGACCCCCACTCCCTCAGCACCTCAAAAAAAAAATCATCCCCACAAACCGTATCCCCTAATCTCCTCCACCTCAGAATAAAATATAATAAAACCCTCGTGACCCACTGGAGATCAGTATTTCTCATTCATCCACAACTGACACATTTACCTATAAATACTCGGACAATATCACCCCACGAGGGCCTATAAATACCGCTCGTCCACACAAACCATTACCCAAGGAATTTATAATCCATCACAAGCCATGAGTATGCTCATCAGTTACCTCAGGAATGTTGGCAAAGCGCTGCAGGACGAAAGCTTGTGGCTCGAGGGTTGAGACATGCACTGCGCCGCTGGTAAGGACCCGAAGAGGCCCTTTGGTTACGCTAAAAGTTGATCCTCCAGGAGACGTTCACCCTCAAAACAGCTTTCCTTCCACGACTGAAGACCACCAATCCCTCAATCACCTAAACTCTCCCCAACTTGAATTTTGTCTCTCAAAATCTTGAGATAAAACTCACAAAACTAAACCCAAAAACCCAACAATTCCCTAAAAAACCCCTCCATCCACCGAAAAATGATCTCAATGATGACTTTGCCCCTAAAAAAATCGACAATTCAATTCTGATAACGATCTCGTGCCGTCGGAGCAACAGTTCCCCGACAAAATCACTCGCAAGCTCTCAGTTCAGAGCGCAGAGATGTCCAGTTGTCAGGAAAAATGTCTTTGAGTTTTTAAAGAAAAAAAAAATCGTCAAAGTTAATGAAAAATCTATGGAATGTTCAGCTGTATTCACTAGCTATTCTAAACCACTATAACACGAAACAGTTTCGTCTGCACAGCTCGACGTACTCCAGTGGCTCTAGTATTTCCACTAAAATCGAGAGGAGTGAAAGCACAGAGGCACTCGCACTGCCTCAGTTACGGTTTGATACGATAGTCCTGCGCATTAAAAACCTCGGGGATGCCTTCACCGCACCACTGGGGAATGGGGGATGGGAAAGGGTGAGGGGGGACTACAGCAGCTTGACTCTGATAGCCTCAGCAACCCCTCGTCACCTCCTATCCACGATTTTACATCATTCTGCACTGGTGGCTTGGATGGTTACCCCTGTTGGGTTGTGAGCTTTACGTTGGTTAAGATTCGGTCATTCGTTTTTTTGGATTTTTAGGGGTCAGCGGAGCTTGCGGGCGCTGACTGGGGCTTATTTAGAGCGGGAGAGACTTTGAAAAGGGCTTGAAGCAACGATTCTATTCGATTTCCATTGAACTTTTCGTTCAAACTATTCGTTTTCGAAAGGTTCTGTTGAAATTTTACACAGCTCATCTGTGCATTTTTTTAATAAAAATGTTCAATGGATTAAATTCTATAGAAAAATTTTTGTGAATTGGACTTTTAATGCAGTTTATTGTACTGAGATATTTTATGTAGAAATTTCGCAGCTCAAGTCGAGGAATTAGTGTAGAAGATGTCTCAATGGAAAAAGTTGTATAGAAATATGAAATTCGACTCATTTTTTCTATGAAATAGTTTCTATTGGACATTTTCTATTTGAAAAACAAGCTGTAAAGACTCATGGAATTCTCAACTCTCATGTTCACTGAAATAGATTCTGTAGAAATTCCTTAGCTCAAATTCTTAGTTTTTTTTGTTCAACTTTTTCATGTAAAAATAAGAAAAAAAATGGAAAAAAAAGAGTGAAAAAAACTTGAAGAATTTATGTCCAGGAATTCCTATAGAAAATATGTCAATCTCAATGGAAAAAGTATAAAAACATGAAATTCTACTCATTTTATCTATGAAGTAATTTCCATTATCCATTTTCTGTTAGAAAAACGCACAATAGAGCTGCGTAGGTCTTCAATGGAATCCGCCAAAAACTAATAGAATTTTTAATAAAAGGTTCTCAACAGAAAATTTTTCTAGAGAAATGTGATTGCGAATTCTCAAGAATTACGCGTAAAAATTCACGGTTTTGGTGAACGTCTTTGGAACTAAGGGGGATAGGGAAATTCTGAAGTATGAAAGCTGTAAAATAATATTTACATAACTTTGAATATTTCTCATAGACTTCTCAAGCCACCTCTCATGAGATATTCAACGAAAACCCTAAACTATCAGAAATAAAAAACTGCCTGACTAATCATCAACTTTTCCCCTCAATTTCGATTCTCGGAATCTTTTATTTAATGATAACAAGGGCTTGATTGGGGTTGGAGATTTTTATCGTCGTTTATTGGGCTTTCAAGGCTGTATTCTGCTGCGGAGTAGTCAATCGTAAAAACGCAAATAGAAATTTTATGGTGATGGTAATGGTGATTATCTTGGAAATGAGTTTGGGGGAAATGTCAGGGGAGATTTTTTGCAATTGGCGAATGTTCGAACAGAAAAGGTCATCAGATATTGTTTCCTAAATCAACTCATTATCGGGCACTGTTGTTTTCAACGAAATAAACAATATTTGTTCCCTCAATTTATCACGGAATTATCTTGATGACGAGTAATTTTGGGGAGAAATTTCACGTGATTTTACATTTTCTTCTAATAACACTCGTTCCTGAGATAAATTAATAAAACAATTGCCATTTGTCAATAATTTTCAACTTTTGTCTGCCTGATCTTGTCGAAAATAATGATTAATTTCAATTGATTAATTTCATTAATTTCAATTTTAATTTCAATTTAACGAGTAATGATCAATTCTGATTAAGTTTTAATTAACGATTGTTTATTAAGACCATTTATTAAGAATTATGATAATGAATTTTTCTCGTGTTTTCACTGAATCTGGTACACTATATTCTATTACTCTATACAGACAGCTCACATATTCATTTGTACCGGTAATTATCCAATCCAATAGGTCCTTTCCTTATGAGTGCGACGTGGGGGTCATCTGGGCGGTACACTGAAACAATTGTATTGGATTCATTACTAAACTACAATTGGAAAATTTAATTAGTAATTAAAGAAAGGAATAAATTGTGGGATTTAATTCAGCAGCTGTTGTTGATGACGAGGGATTTTTGGAAAAAAATGTCGAGAATTTTTATTTGTAAATATAAAAAATCTTCACAATCTAGATTATATTTCGATTGAATTCAATGGAATTCTGTATTTTAATCAACATTCTATTTGAAAACTTTGTTTTTTGCGTTCATTTCTGCCGAATAAAAATCTGATTTTCTTTTTGTTGAATAAATTATTCTCTTGAGATTTCTATAGTAATTCTTGGGAAAATAGTTTCTAAATTATTTCTGCTGTACCATCATTTGTTTTTTACAATAGAAATAAGAAGAAAAATCGGAAATCCGGGCCCGAAAATTCTTACCGAAAGAATTCCAATGGAATGAATTGTATAAAAAAATCAACATCTATTAAATTTTTTCGATCAAAAAATATTTACTGAAAAACCTATAACGAAGTGGCGCTCTTTGAATAGAAATTGCAAAAAAACAAATACAATTTCCATTGAATTCCACGAGAATTTTGAGAGAATAGAATGAAAAAATTCAATAGAATAAAATTTCATAAAATTTTTTCAATGAAAAGTCTTCTCTCGCTCTCTCTCAAAATCGCTGAACAATTAACAAGATCCCCATCCTCCCCTACAAAATGGCGTGGATTTCCTATTATATAACCTCACTTTCCAGAATATTAAACTCACCGAGATATGTATCCTTATACTTCTTGATGTGACTGTGCTTATCGATCTTGGTAGCAAACATATACGCCATGAAAGAACCGGACATGCAGCACAAAAATGCCATCCCCATGATAATGGGGTGGTGAGTGCGATAGTAGTGAAATTTCGCACGCCATGTAGGCACTGAAAATTCAACATTTTGCCCGTGTTACTTGTAAAAATCGTTGTGCATTGCAGAATATAAATTTAAGTAATGATTTCTTACGATCTGGAGTTTGTCCTATTTGTCCCCAATCCATGATTCTTGAATGAATGCAGCAACGATAATAAATACGAGTGGAGCCAATGGAGTTTCTGGGAAAACAGCTGCTCCGACTGGCCAGGGAGGGAGAGAGATGGAACATGAACCACGTGACTCCGGTTTAAATGTCAAGGCACTCAATTTTATGCATAAATTGCCGAATCTTTCCGCAAAATGAGGTTGAGAAACTGAACTGAGGAATTAAATCATCAAAACAGATTAACTAAGACAGTTTTTTCAATTTTGTTCATACTATTTTTGTGAATATCTCGGGAAGTATGAGGTTTAGGAGAGAATGCTATCTAACATTTTTTGTAGAGAATTTCATAAGTTACAAAAAATATTTTATGACATTTTTCGATAAAAGCAGTGGTTTAGGAGATATTTGAGGAATAGTTCTGGGTTTCGCGTTGCTCCAATAAAAAAATCGAGTTCTATTCCCGGAGCTGGGTTGGTTAAAACATGAACCACGTGACGCCAATTTAAAGGTCCAAATGCTCATTTTAATGCGTAAATAATCAAACTTTTCAGTAAATTTAAAATGGACTGTTATTCTTGATGGAATGAAGATATTAAATTGAGAAACAAAGATAACGAGACACTGAAAGATTTTGTTCTCGTCATTTTTATCAATATCTTGAAAACTACTAGTTCTAGAGAAAAAATTATGAAAGATTTTTTATAGAGAATTTCATGAGCTATAAAAAAGCTCTTATGAATTTTTTCAATAAAAACAGCGGTTTAGGAGATATTCGAGGACTAGTTTGAGAACTCGTGTTTCACCGATAAAAAAAATCGTGCTGCATTCCCTGAGTCGGGTTTGGTTGGATCCCATGCTTTCAACTTTCTTAATTTCATAATAATAAAGTCATTAACCCGCAATAGCTCCTTAGACGAGTCTAGAAGACCGAAAACGGTGCGATTTAATGAGAGGTGAGGGGTTTAAGCGAGTGAAGAAGTGAAAATTAGAATTTGTTTGGGAATTGTACCTCACGAGGACACGAGAAAAACAAAGCTGGGGAACTTAACCTCGAAATCACTTGTCAAAATCGTCAACAAAGGAATGAGAAAGCTAACAAGCAACAAAGGTAAGGCAAAAACTAAGTGAATATAACTTTTTTAATAACCAAGACTCTTAATTAATTATCAAAATGTATTTTGCAAAGTTGCATATCTCTGAAATTCAGAAACAGTTTTTCATGTTTATTGATGCAGATATTGGGCTGCATATGACATTAATCAGTCAATTTTAAGGAATTTTATGCCAATTGAAAATAGAACATAGGGGGAGTGGGGTAAAACGGACACTTTAGACATTTAAAAAATTATTCATAACTCAAAAACAAATTGATCAATTGAGCTTACTTTAGGCTCGTCACAAAGGGAAATAATTGTTCTTTCTATTGAAAAAAAAAATTATTAAATTTCATCAACATTTCAACCCGTCATTAACATTTTTAAAAAAGTCAAAAGTGTCCGTTTTAACCCAACCTCCCCTATATGCCTGATGTCTGAAACACATGCAAAAAATATCAATAAAAGTCAACATTAATAGTAATATTAATATTTTTTGCATTTCTTGACTGAACATTTTATGTTGAAATTCCTTGAAACGAATTTTGTAACGTTTTTCACTCGATTTTTCTCCTCTCGGTGAAAAAATTAAACAAAAAAACTTGGAAAGTTGAAGCAAGACATTTATACAGAAAATATTCCAGTAGAATAAATCGCACAGAAATTCACAATCCTATTGATTTTATCTCGAGTATTTTTTCTTCAACATTTCTATTGACCAAAAACTGATGACAGCAGTTCAATGGAATTTTCTATAGAATTCTATAAAATAATTCTATTGACTCATTCTATACAGTATTTTTCCTTCAAAATTTCTATTGACCAACACTAATGGAAATAATTCAATTTTTTTTTTTTTTTTTTTTTTTTTTTTTTTTTTTTTTTTTTTTTTTTTTTTTTTTTTTTTTTTTTTTTTTTTTTTTTTTTTTTTTTTTTTTTTTTTTTTTTTTTTTTTTTTTTTTTTTTTTTTTTTTTTTTTTTTTTTTTNGCAGTATACCCCCCGGGTCGAAGCGATGTAAAATAACGAGAAAAAATAATTTTTTGTAGAATTCTATAGAATGTTTTTCCATGACATTTTCTCCTACGTGTCAACTTCACCACTCACTTAATCCCGCATTTTTTTTTCAGTTCCAAAAACCCCCCCAAAACTCTCCACCTCCTAAACACCCCCCCCCCC